ATTCAGCTTTCTAACAGTGGGTTGTTTCTTAAATTTGACCCATTGGTTCGCGGCTAATAATACGTTACGTTATTGCGATTGGAGATTAAAAAAATTGGGATGGAATAACAAATCGTTCTCATGAAATAACTGATTTTTTCATTAAAACAAAAAAATGTTGCATTTTATTAAATGGATTGTAACAATAAGTATAATTACGGCTTTTCTTCCACTATTTTTAACTCAGTTTGAAACTTCAAATGCGATATAATTTTGGCTTGGGCCATCTAAGCTGACTGACATCAACTTGCTATAATTTCTGTTTACATTACATCGCAATTCGATGACACTCTGGCTCAGACACCAGAATGTTTTGACGATTTTTAGCATTCATTTAGGATTTTCAAACAACCTGGTCTCTTTTAAAATACTTTTAATTTGTTCTTACGAGGTTTTCCAGATGTAGTGACGACAACATTAAAGTTTAAAGAAGAAAATTCTAACATTTAAACCGACTAAACAATAACATAGTAAACTTGCATAATTAAGCAGCAACTAAAAATGATAGGTTTTACTAAATCTTTTCCTGTGCAATTATTACTAGCATTGGAGACAAGGATAATAGTTTGTTTGAAAGAGAAAAGAACAGGCTTTGAAGTAAGCCTAAAAGCGTTTAACTAGAAATAGTATTTCGAAAGTTATTAAGTACAACAGATGAATTGCGTTTATTTTGATACACCCTGTATAGGTATAATATTTTGGCTTCTATGGGCTTTATTTTAATGTAAATAATTCAAAACGAAACTCTACGTAAAACGTTTTTAAATGTGAATTGAAATTAACTGCTTTTTGCCGATATTTATAAACTTCTCAACTCGAGCTTCAACTTATTACTCGCACTTTGAAATGAAACAAATTTAATTCGTACAGGACGCTAATGAAAATAATTTGCTTTCCTTTTTATCATGAACTTCTACAAAAGTTAATTTAACTAAGAAACTTTCGCAAACAATGCATAGGAAAGACTTGAACATGAAGAACAAAGTCTTTATCATTAAATACAAAGTCATACATAAACAATTGAAACAAACTTGCCCTATACATTAGGATTTATCATTCTTATCAATGTTTACGTTTAAAAATTGCAAAAAATTGTACAATTTGTTATGTGAAACGATTTTCCAAGCTTCCTTACATGTATTTTTTATATTTTTTGCCTTCTTCACTCCTGGCAAACAGCCATATTTTGAGATCAGTGATGACCACCCACCCAACACTCCAACATCGTTGGTGAGCGTCCGCGGTCATTGATGAACTTTAGACTTCGCTAATGCTTTCGTTTCCCCGGGTGTAAATAGCCGGGGGGAATTAGTACCCTCGCACAGCGCTTCGCGCCGTCGGCTCGGGTATTAACGTTATCCAATCAGATGCGTTTGAAATATCCAATCAGGGCGCTATAAAACGCGGGCGGTGAAACGGAGATAGCGCCACTGATCTTTGTGTGATGCGCGTACCCCCATATACATTAATTCATAATGTAAATAAAAATGGAATTGGAATGTTTTAATATACAAAAAATAGCTGAAAAACAAAAGTAAAAAATGTTTTCTGCACATTCCTAAACAACTTGATGAAGACATAGTTGGATTCATTTTCTGTATTTTTGATAAAGGAAAAAGGGCTTTAAAGATTCACAATGAGCGAAATAAAAAATTTAAAAAGGAATCGAGCTGATCAATGTGGGCATATTCGAAATACGAAAATTTTGGTATGAAATGGGATAAACATTTTCACAGTAAGAATATTCTGACATTGCTTGGCTACTATTTTTTCCAAAATTGACCATCCACAGGGATCTATTCTGGGCCGGCTACTGTTTTTACTCTACATAAATGACCTCCCAAAATGTCAGTTGGTATCGAATGGGCGTTTATTCGCCGATGATACCAAGTTTCGCCGATGATACCATTAATGAATCTACGAGAATTACGGAGACAACATTCACACTGATAGACTTAATACTTACAAATAAACCTGAATATATTTCGACTGTTGGTGTGGTAAAGCTAAATAAATAAATAAAAACACCTTGGTATATCCGAACATAGCTTAGTCTATGCTGTAAGGAAATTTGAATTACCTAAATCTAGACCAACTATAAAAGAAGTCCGAATCGCAGTTCCGCGCTGATTTACTGCAGGTACCCTGGGACACGATTTGCTACGATGATCCCAATACATGCATGGGTTATTATTATCAACAAATCTAGCTGTAGTATTCTTAAATTTAAAAGTTTGAACACTCCGCATCAGAAAAAGGCTTTCAGTCTATTATAAACGAAAAGAAGGACGTTTTTCATAAATCTCACAACTGACGCAGGAAATCACTTATTTATCACGCCGAATACCGAAGCTATTCGATGTATAAATATTCCGATTTAAATATTTAAACAAAGTGTAAACATTGTCATTGTAAACATTTAGTAATCGTGGTTTCGCCATTGATAAATTCCATACGAGATCAAGTAAAACAACTACACGATCTAGGAGTCAGTGCTGTGTCATTATTAAGTTGAATCGAGAGCGATGAAGAAGCGAAGGCATTGGAACATTGAGAGAAATATTCTGACTGTATTATATGGCACAGCAGAGTCATTGTTGAAGACAAAGTGTATAGATAGCACAACGTTTTGTGCTTTGGCTATATTGATTGATGCGTGAAGCTCATGTCAGTATGTATTATAATAAATCCTAAACATGTGTTCGCATTTGTAATTCTCAAAGCCACAGGAATCGATCGGCTTTGACCATTCTATTAAATAGTCGTTATTTTTTAGAGGCTCTAGATCCTTGGAAATGGCCATTTCAGAGCCCTATCTACCTATATCAGTACGGACAGTAACCTGGTTGAGCGAAACATGCAGTGCGTTTTTTTAATATATTAATGCGATGAGGGCACCAAAAAATTTGGATCCGTAAGACTAGGCAAGTTAAAAGTTCGATCCACACTTGTTTTTATTTTAATTGACACTTCCATGAAAATTTATCAGAACAAATATAATAACAAGCTATATCAATGAATCAAGCAAAACTGTAACTAACAATATTTAGAAAGAATTGTCCTACTATCAAAATTTTAAAGTCGCAACTGTTAATCAAAGGAGCCAAAAAAGGCCCTTCTACGTTCGTGACAGGCTGCAAATTTATTTGCAATTCCATGCTGTCAAGATCATCAAACTCTGACTGGTAAATGTTTAGCAGTATGATATTGTTTAGTCTTTCTTGCCCCATCGTCGCGCGAAGGTACGATTTCAGTCTCCTGAGCATTGAGAACGTACGTTCCGCCGTGGCAGCTCTTAAAAGTAGTTGTTCAATATCTCGAAGCAACGTGAAGCTTTTCTGGTCAAATCGCCGAACAAGTTCTTGATACACAAGATCGAGAACTTCAAAATATTGCTGGCGGTGAAATGCTTTTGGGCTGCCGAAGTCATGCCCTGGAGCACCATCATCAAATCTTGCTGGTACTTTTCGTTGCCGCGCGAGAAATGGAGCTTTCGTGTTACCTTTGGACTCCTTTACTACGCGGTCGTAGAAACCGTTAAACTCTTTATCTGAACGCATGCGCTTGTAATAATTGCCAGTAAGATTGGAAGAATTAATAGCCTCTTGGATGTTGGAATCTTTACTCTGCAAGGTTCGAGAAATTCTTCACCGGGACTAAACACAAGGTAGGACAATCTTAAACCAAACAGAGTTGAGAACTTCTTGAGTCTTCTAAGCATACCATCTGCTTTCAGAGCAACATCTCCACCTTCGTCAACAACATCGTTGCAGGTTTCTTTTAGAGCCTCGTAGTTGTCCAAGACAGCTTTAATAGCGTCACTTCGAACTGTCCAACGAGTTGGGCAAAAAGGTTTAAGATTCTGGTGGCCACAAAAGATTGTTTCCTCATCTTCCATTTGCTTTTCATTGAAGATTTCAGCCCTCTTTGGCGATTTGTTGACAGTATGGACAGCTTCCCGGACCAAGTCTAAGGCATCTTGTATCAGACGAAATGACTTGCACACATCTTGCAAACACAAATTAAGGCTATGGGCCAAGAAGTGAACTGGTATTGCCTGTGGTTCCTCTTGCTGAATTTGAGTGGAAACACCATTAAATCTACCACTCATCGCCGCAGCTCCATCATGTCCTTGGCCACGACACTGATTTAAAGGTAAAATACAACGAACGAGAACATCCTTTAGGTGAGATACAATTGAATCAGCTGTGCAACTTGAAATTTGGAATAGACCTAACGGATCTTCGTAGATGTTATAATACTCATCTACCTAGCGACAGCAAATTAAACAACCAATTGCTCCTTATTGGAGATATCTCTAATTTCATCTGCCATAAGACAAAACTATCCTGCCTCGCGGATTTTTACAAGAATCCCACGCAGAACTTCTTGGCCCATTATAGAAATGATTTCATTTACAATTTGAGGAGACTAATAACGCTTTAACTCCAACCACTTTGAAATTTCTGGGACATCTTCGCCCTAGTTTTCAACATTTGATATAGGTTTCCGTCTTTATCTTTATGTCCTAAAATTATATTTAAATAACCTATAAAACATGCCAAGTGTACATGTATTGGTTGTGTGGACAACCAAATCAAATAATCAATAACAGCCTTCTTGTCTCTTACCTCGTAAAGGCATTTCTTGTCAGAAGATATTTAATGGAAGATATCTCTTTTTTCAACAATGTGCGGTGCAATGCTTGAGAATTTTCAAGTTCAGTTGCTAACTTACTAGCAACTGAAGGTTGATGCATTAGGATAATTTTCTCCATGCTTTCCTTATGACATTGGCTACTCTCATGTTCTTTAAACCGCTGAAGAGATTTCTTCCAATTACCAAAACTATCCAGAGTGAAGGCTTTTTCTTGCTTTGAACTGAATGTCAACAATCCTTTTTGCTTAGCTTTTAGTGGCAGAAGACCAAATAGCTTAATTGTGCCACATAATGTAATCCAAGAATAATTATTTTTCCAAACAACTTGAAATGTGCTAACCCGAAATTTTTTTCCAACACCAGAAGCTTGAGATGTTTTTTCCAGGATAGTTTTAGAACGTGGTTGAAAAGGTTCGCTTGAGTCTTCAGCACAACATATATTTTTGCATTTAGCACTACCCTGGAAAATGAATTTCGTATGTGAATGATTAGCTGACATTAAGTTTGAAACCTAGCAGTTAATACGTAAAATCCAGTACAATATAAGTTATGTTTGAAATACTTGACCTGTATATACAGTCTTTATAGTACTGATAAACTTTATATATAGATTATAGTCTTTATGTAGAAATTATAAATATACCTGATGATCATTAATATTTTTATCCAAGACTGTTATTGGTTGGTGTTCTTCACCAAAACTTTCGTCTGCAATATAAGTATAAAGTAAAATATATAACTTAGATATTTTAACACATTCTTCACTTTAGGATTTAGTGATTTACTGGCTTATAAAACAGAATATGCAATATGTTGAGTCGCTAAAGTCATAAATATACTATACTACCCGTATACTATAAATTAAAAACGTAAAAGCACCTACCTTGGTTTGCCGAATCGCTAAGGTCTCTACGTTCGGTTTCTTCATCAGAAGACGCGGAAAGAGATGGGTTATCATCCTCCGATCCTGTTGACTTTCTAATTCTTTGCATTTAGAAAACTCTTTAGAACGAGAACGGCCAGCACTCATATTTTATTCATATTTTGCTTGCGATTGCGCTAGATGATAACACTTAACGAAGCAATTGGCGCTTCCTAACACATCAAAACTCCGTGATAAAACAAATAATCGCTCAAAAATTAAACTCGCGATGAAAGAAAAATGTTATCCATGTAAATTTTGATCACAGATACGTGTATTACTAAAATGTATACACAATACACGTACTTTTAACTATACAACAATAAATTTCCGAAATACATACTGTAGGTATATTATTTTGCATTTCGTGAGCCTTGATTTAATGTAAAATTTAACTTGAAACGCTTCGTAAAATGTTTTGAAATGTTCATTCCACTAAACTACATTTTGCCAATAAACTGTTTTTACTTCATAAAACATAATAAGTTTAATACAAATTAAACAAATTGTTAGGCCAACTTCAGTTCAGTCTTCAAATCAATTTGTTCTTCTCAAATTAAACGGTAATTTGTGAAACTTAGAGCTTCGTTGAAAAGGAAAACAGTTCATGTTTTTAGGCAAAAAGTTAATAAAGTAACAAAATTCGTAAACATTAAATATTCAAAGCAAACTTGCCGTATATTTCACGATTTCCCATAGTAAATCAATTCTTCTCATTTCTTCAAACAAAATTGCTTCAAGCGTGTTGTATATGAAACGATTTTCCAAATATATGTCTTTTAAAATTGAAATCTTGCTTATCCCACTCCTATAAGCAATCAGCCATATTTTTGAGATCAGTGAGGATGACCACCCATTCAAGATCGTTGGTCACGCCCGCGATCATTGATGAACTTTAGACTTCGCTAATGCTTTCGTTTCCCCTGGTGTAAATACCCGGGGGGAATTAGTACCCTGGCTCGGGGAAAATATTAACGACTATTAAAACATGACCAAGCCCGATCGATTCCTGTGGCTTTGAGAATTACAAAAGCGAATACATTTTTAGGATTTATTATAATACATACCATTCTTTAATCACACGAGCTTCATGCATCAATAGCCAACGCAGAAACCATTTTGCTATACGTACACTTCGTTGTTAAGCATTCGTCTCCATCGATCGATCTTCAACAATGACTCTGCTGTGCCATATTGATACAGTCAGAATATTTCCCTCAATGTTCCAATGCCTTCGCTTCTTCATCGCTCTCGATTCAACTTAATGACACAGTACTGACTCCCAGATCGTGTAGTTTTTTTACTTGATCTCGTATTGAATTTATCAATGGCGAAACCACGATTACTAAATGTTTACAATGACAATGTTTACAATTTGTTTAAATATTTAAATCGGAATATTTATACATCGAATAGCTTCGGTATTCGGCGTGATAAATAAGTGATTTCCTGCGTCAGTTGTGAGATTTACGAAAAACATCCTTCTTTTCGTTTATAATAGACTGAAAATCCTTTTTCTGATGCGGAGTGTTAAACTTTCAAATTTAAAAATACTACAGCTAGACATGTTGATAATAATAGCCCATGCATGTGAAGGTCATTGAAGGTCGATCTTCCAATTATCGTGTAGATGGTCGTGATTGGTTAATTGCCGGGAAGTCAAATGTATAGCGAATGTGAGGTGGGGCCTTTCTGCCACTAACTACGTCTGCGAAAGAGGCTACTAGCTACCCCTCTAGGCTTGGCAATATATAGGCATGACATATACCTACCCTTTTAAGAAACTCCACTTTCGTTCTTTGCAGCTCTTCTTCTACTCTTTTCAATTTTATTTCCTCTTCCAAATCCTTCTTCACTGTTTCCATTTTATCTTCCCACAACCTCCTCTTCTTTTCCTCGTCTTCTTTCCAGATTTTCTCGAGCACATCGGCGGCTGATTGAAACTCTTTGCCTTGTTTGCGTAGCAACCGCCACACTGGTATGTAGCCCTCAGGTGGTCCGCGGCCGATAATAGCCCAGGTCGACTTGTACTCCAAGAGCTGTGCAAACGTCACAGGGTTAGATGCCAACGGACCGACGACCTCAACTGAGAATCTATAGGTGGCGTTATTTTTCTCCGCCTGACTTGCTTCAATTTCGCCTGAAGAACTGTGGTGTTCGCCGGTTACGCTGCCTCCTATCAAAAAGGCTCCACCAAAGTGTCCACCCGCGGAAATTGTACTTTGTAGTCTGGCCTCGGCTGCCATGGTGAACTTGGACGTTTCGATGCTGGTGTCACTCTCAGCGTCTGCGATGCTGCAGAAAATTCCACCCAACTTGTGGACTCCGGAAGGTATGTGGCTACCATATAATGTCATGAAGGAACGTGCTTTGTTCTGACTCTCTCTGCCCCTTCCAATATCTGTAGCAAGTTGTAGTGCAGGTTTGGTCAAATTCATCTTGTCTTCTTCGATTTGGAATTGCTTCATCGTTATAGAATAGTGCTGCAGGACCGACACGCTGGTACACGAGGATTTCACTGTACGTTGGCTTGTCCGTTTGAATTCGGATCCGAACGAACCCTCTGCGAGAAAATAGCCACCGAATCCATTTATAGCAGCGCCGACATTGCTGCTTGTCGACTTTATGGTTGAGAAAAAATTGGTTGCGGCTCCTTTAGAGGTAAATCTCAAAAAACTGCATCATCGTCATCATCGTTATGGTCATCATCATAATTAACATCATCATCGTCATTTTGCCATGAAATAAAAGAAAACAAAAACAAAAACGAAAACAAAATTTAGGCGATATGCACACGATGTCGTTTTCCTTAGCGTTTTAGATTATTTTAGGTAATATGAATATCCATAAAAGTATACTACAAACCTTTTTTGACTGCGTTCACCCGCCCCAAACATGTTCACGTCTGTCGGTACCAACAAGATAGGCTGACCCGCAGGTCTCGGAGACTCGTACTCAGAATGATAGATGCCACAGAGGGCACGTCCTCCACTGGCTTCAGTAACAAGATCCACGTCGCTTTTTTCGTTTGATACAAATTCTGAATCTATAACTTTGCTCTTCTGCTCGATTATTTCGTTCAGCTCCTTTAACAATTCGCTCGGGGCTATATTTTCAAACGAGTCAGGTGGCAAATCAAGAGCATGTAAAACAGCTACGAATCTGTCTTTCATATCTTTCTTGTTGCTCGACGCTTGCACGCTTTCTTGTGCTTCATTCATCAGTTGCTTGGCTTTCTCTAGGTTTCCTTCGTCCTTTTTCGCTGATATTAATTCCTCGGTTTCTCTCTCGACTAACTCGGGGGGCAATTCTTGCTGCTTTGCACCCTTAGCCTTGCTGATCCACTCCAAGCCCTGTTGAGCGACAGATTTTAGCTGGTTCAATATTTCATCTGTTTCGCCGCTTTCCTGGCCCTCGCGTGGCAAAGGTTCAATCGCTTCGGATATTTCACTAGGCTTTTGCATTCTATATGATGAAATGAACCCTAAAAAAATTACAGTACATGGTAATTAACATAATGTACAGGCGCTGAGTTGCATGTCAGACACGATATCTCGAAACCTATTGGTTGGTACAGCCTGCGCTCGAACCAATTTTTCTTTTCATATTTTATAACATTTTATTTGAATTTGTAATGATAGCACTTAAGAATATTTATAGTGTTTAGTGCTTTATAAATGAATAAATTATCACTATTTATTATTAATATAATATCTCGACATTTGAATATAGTAAATGTAGGTATAAAATATCGCAACTGGTTGAGGAGAAGGGCAAGGCGTTATTTGCAAAAATTGTGAAAGATCCGGATCACGCCTTACATAACCTACTCAGAAAAGAGATCCAGAACTTTAAGAGAACGAAAACACTCTTTTATCCTACCAATGATCAAAACTGAACGTTTTAAACGCTCATTTTCAAATAGATGCCTATTTGACTATTTTAATTAGCTATTTTAACTTTTTTAATCACTATAAAATAATTCTGTTGTAATTCTACTTTTAACCATTGTAATTATATTTTAACTCAATTGGAATTGTAAAGGCACACGTTTGTTGTGCCTCCTTCCTATTTAATAAAGACTTTATTGAATTTCTTACGTATATATACAATTGTAAATCTCACTACTGACTTAGGTAATTTACAATTGGCTACATGAATCACAGAGTACTACATATGTACTATTTACAGTAAAAATAAGAATAATATGGGTATAGGATTATATATATTATTATTTGTAGTTATTAATTTAAAAGTTTAACAATTCAGGGTTTGTCAACTCGACAGCAAAAAATATAGTACGTCGCTATAATGGCATAAGACGTCATCTTTTTTATGCAGTAATATTGCTGCTTTTTATCCATTCCTATAGTGTCTAACATTTCTAAAAAGGTGAAGCATTCTTTGTCAAACATACCGAGAGAACTCATTGATAGATTTACAAATTTAACAGAACAAAAGTGACCCCTTTGATCTTCAATTAGGTCTTATAAATAATAAAGAAACATATGAACGGGTGAAGAGCTAACTGTAATAACCATAACTGGGCTAATCTAGACAGTTAGATATTCACAGGAATTATCTTATGAAATATGTATAGCACTGGATCGGAGAATTGATAATAAATTAGTATACATAAAAAGATAATAAATAATAAATATAAGGAAAGATAGATCACGTCCTCAAAAGTTGGACAATATTAAAAATAAAAAATAAGTATGGATAGATAAACTGTCAAAAACCGGAGAGTAGGAGAAAATTTCTAAATAA